TGCAACCCGGCATGCTCAGTCGAGCAGGTCCTGCCGGTCAGCAGGGCCTGGGGGGTTTACAGCTGGGTCTCCTCCCTCAGCGTGGAGGTGAACCCTACGGGCACTGTGCTGCTGAAAGTATGGCCACTATAGGAGGTACGGCCTTGTCGTAAGCCTCGCTCTGTCTACAAGAACACGTCTCCTTCCTCCAAGCGCGGTGCCTTTGTTCTCTCCTCAGGCACGCACTACTCAAGTGCTGCTACGTGGACTTTGAACCTTCAACCTGAAGTGTCAAATACCCATCACTCCAGAGAGAACAGGGAAAGGGGTGCTGCTTCTATTTACCCTTTCTCTGGTGTCTCACTTCACTCTCCGAGGGGCTCGAAGAGCCCCAGCAAGGCAGCAACTCCTGTTACTGCCCACTGACACTACCAGCCAAAGAAAGGCAAAGGATACAGGCAGCATCTTACAGCTCTCCTTGAGCATTTCAGGGACAACAGGGAAACATACCCTGGCTGCCTCGCTCTTGCTTTGCCAGGTCAGGGCACACAGTCCGAGAACCAGAAAAGCTGCTCTTACTCCCAGCAAAGAAACCCAACACTCAGAGTGTGGACATCCTCCACCTTCTGACAACTCAGGGACTGCCAAAGTCACCGCACTTCTCAGCGACTGCTTTGTGGGGTGCTGCCTGTTGAGTATAAATGTGATTAAGTATTATGCCTTAGGACTCAGCTTTTGAGGGTTTCTCCTTAACGCAGGAGTCTTCCTCTCAGCAGCGGCTGTTACTTCCTTTTTTGATGACCATTCCCTCTCCACCCTTCACGGGACCACTGGGATCCCCTTTCTCAATGAGCTGCCTCCCAGAAATAGCCATGTACTTGATTTCTGCTGCTGGCAGTAGCCTTTAGGTTGAATAACACAGCTCCTGACACTGGGGGTGGATACTTAATCACTTACACAACCACCACGTACAAGTATGTTCTCTTCTGATTACTACACAATCGGGATGTATCGATTTGTTCTTATTTCTGTGATTAAGCACTTTGATTAAAATGTCCCTAAAAAAGGCTGAGCTTCTTCTTAGTTCCACTGTACAGGAATACAGCACAGCATCTGTAATTAAGTCAGGTTTTAGAAAACATGCCGGTTTGTTCCAGTCACCAAGTTCTTGTGAAATTTGGCACGATTAGTACAAACAGCACCAGGTAAGGCTGACACGATGCAGCCATATGGTTCACCTCAGAGGCCAAAGCTGCTGCTACCAGTCTCAGGAGGAGTTTGATAAGGCCAGGCACAGCAGCCAGTACTGTAAGCTGACAAATTCTGTTGGTGCTCACTAACTGAGCACTCTCAGTCCCTATGAAGATGCAAAGAGGCATTTCTCCATCCTCCAGCTGTGTGTCCACTACAAGCAGCTTTGCATTGTGCTCTCAGCACCTGCTGACAGTGGACTTCCTACTGCTGCTGGGCCCATCAAAGCCCAGGGCAGGCCGTCCCGTAACGTACCATGCTCCTGGTAAGTCGCCCATCGCTCACTTTGAACTTCAGTGCTCTGCTTGGACTCCTTTTTACAAAGCCCCTGGTACTAATCCCACTGGCTGCTCCAGGGCCTTTGCTCACGTGCTGCCCTTTGGGCAGTAAAACCATTCCCTGTTTGTGAAGAGGGGCCTACAGCCAGGTGCAGGGCTGTTCCCATTAATCCAGTCCTTACAGAGTTGGAACCATTGCTGGGTGCAAGGAACCTTACCTGCCTCTCCTCTCGGGTAAGTGTTTGGAGAGGAAAAAGGCCTAAGGTGCAGGGCTGTTCCCATTAATCCGGTCCTTACGGAGTTGGAACCATTGCTGGGTGCAGGGAACCTTACCTGCCTCTCCTCTCAGGTAAGGGCTTGGAGAGGAAAAAGGCCTGCTCAGGCAGCTCTGCTTTTTTTTTTCCCCTCAATCACTACTTCATCTACCAACAATTTAAATGCAGAACCACTATATTGAGACATGAGCTGTTTTAAATGAGACCAGCTGCAGGAGTTTAGAGGAGGTCCTTTCTAAGACAACCTTCCACCATGGAAGCTCCTAAATAAGCCTGGAGAAAAGCAGCAGCGCAACGCTCACGCAGAAAAGCCACTGGTGCAAAAATCCATCAGAGCCTCAGGCTCTACACGTACTCTAAACCACCTCCTGGTAACAGTGAGGAGACCCCAGCCATCAGCAGGGAATAGCCTTCGGAGTACAAACTGTTCAGTTACTAAGCAGCTTTACAAGCAACACCTCGCTGTTGGATGCAAGTCCCACCCCACCACCAAGAGAAGATACACAAAACCAAGCAACAGATCACTTCCAAATACTTTAATATGGTCCATAACAAGGGAATGGAGCTTAGAACTGGATCACCTGGCCCTGTTAAGAAGGAAGAGACAGAGTGAGTTTCACCACTGAAGTCACCACCCTTTCTCAGCCTCTCATGGCACACAAACCTACCTTTCTCTTCTTGTCTCCTCCCAGTTCAAAGTGCTTGCACCTCTTAATGGCCAGCATCCTCTTGGACCTGCAGTTGGGCTCCACGCACTCCAGCCTCAGCACAATCTTCTTTGTGGTCTTGGCCTGGGAGGAAGGAACACAGTGGATTGATGAGCAAAATGTCCACAGACAGAGTGCTGCTCTCAGGAAAACCTTGTTATCTGCACTCCTGAAGAATCAGAAGCTTGTTCTCAAAGTATAACGAAAAAGACAACCAAGACAGTTAGGTTCCCTCCACTAAAAACAAGAATGCACCTTAAGGACCAGTACGGAGTGTGGTGGATCTGTACCTTCACAATAAAGGACACTAGCAAACGCATTCAGTGGGGCAGGACTGGTCCCCTGCAGAGATCATACAAAACAGTTTGGGTTGGAAGGGACCTTAAATATCACCCAGTTCCAACCCCCCTGCCATGGGCAGGGACACCTTCCACTAGACCAGGTTGCTCAAAGCCTCATCCAGCCTCGCCTTGGACACTTCCAGGGATGGCGCATCCACAGCTTCTCTGGGCAACCTGTTCCAGTGCCTCACCACCCTCTCCGAGAAGTTTCTTCCCAATACCTAATCTAAATCTTCCCTCTTTCAGTTTAAACCCATTACCCCTTGTCCTGCCACTCCCTGCCCTTGTAAAAAGCCTCCCCACCTGCCCAGCTTTCTTGTAGCCCCTTCAGGCACTGGAAGGGGCTGTAACGTCTCCCCAGAGATCAGCCACACTGGAAAAAAGTCTGTACCAGAGAACACACCGAGGAACAGGCCTTTCTGCAGTGTGGGAGAACAGATGGACCCCACCCGGTACAGTTCAGCAGAAAGCTGGGCAGAAGAAATACCCAAAAGCATCATGACTGACATACTTTCCCTGGAAGGAGCAGCAACACAGCGTGCTCCATGCAGACCTGCAGCTACCGAGAAGTTTGATGAATCCCAAAAGACTGCAGAGGGAAGAATCCAAAGCTGCAAGGCTGCTGTAGCAGCTGGACAGAGCTGAAACCACCAGTTATAAACCTCGGCTAATCACCCATATAATGCTGACTGGGAAGAAACAGCACGGGGGATGGCAACGTAGAGTGCCAGACTGTGAGAGCTGTACAGCTGCTCTGTGTACCCTGCTTGCAGCAGCGTTTTCTGCAAGGTCTCCCCGCTTCCTGGCAGAAAGTCAGCTTCAAAAACTGCTGTCTCATGTTTCTCTTGCTGGAAGACTTCCCGAACCTCTCCAGATCACCAGGGCTTTCCCGTAACAAACCAAGTAGCTCTGTAAGCGTAACTAAACACTTCACACAAAAACTGTAACAAATCAGCCCATCAGGTTTTGCTTCCTTGCTGTAAATACCAAAGATGTTGCTCCCCCATCCCAACTCCTTGGCAGGAGGTACAGGGGGAAAACATGCTGCAAGACTAGAGTCCCAGGTGGGATTTCCTGAAGAGGAAGGGTGACAGCAGCTGGTTTCTGCAACTCATCTGTAACAGAATGTCCTGCTGCCCTTCCACTGCTGCTTTGAGACTCGGGAAAGGCCTAATGCAGCAGCTCTCATTTGCTGGCTCAGTGATAAGACTTCCCTGGAGACACTGGACTACAGGAGAATTATGCTGTGTTCTGCAGTACCCCCAGGCAGCCTCACTGTACGGAGAGCCTCAGAAACCTGGCAAAAAGTTTCAATACCAAACTGCCGACACCTCAAGAACACAAGGACAACAAGCAGCGAGCTCCTCTTCTCTTCCCCTTTGGCAAGCAGCGAGGAAAACTCTCTTTTCAGTAAAAATATCACTTCCAATAATACCCCACTTCCCAGCAGCTCCCTGCAGAACCTGCTCTGCAAACACATGCTAGGCCAAAAGAGCCTCTACACGAGAGAGCAGCGGGGCAGATGTGCATGGGCAACCTCCACTCCCCAGACAGTCCACAGCCCTGCCGTAACACACTTGAGCACAGGACTGCCCCAAGGCTGAGGAGGCTGAAGTATCCCTCTTCGGCTGGGCTTGCAGATTCCCAAGAAATTCCAGGTTCTCCTTCCAAGAATGGCACTCACCTTCTTACGGAAGATGGGCTTTGTCTGGCCCCCATAGCCACTTTGCTTCCTATCGTAGCGCCTTTTTCCTACGGGAAGAAATAGCTCTGTTCAGGCAACGACTCAGAAGACACGCGATCAGGGCAGCCAGCACCCCCACCAACCCCCAGCACAGCTCAGCCCGCACCTGCGCAACCAGCCTAAAGCAATTCCCCCCCCCTGCTCCCACAGCCGCGTGCTCTGGGAGAAACCAAAACCATCACCCTGGCACAGGGCAGGACCCGGGCCACGGGGAGTGCCCCCCCAGCGCCCCCGTCCCTACCCTGGGCGTAGAGGGAGTCCTTCCCCTTCTTGTACTGGGTGACTTTGTGCGGCTGGTGCTTGCCGCATTTCTTGCAGTAGGTC